CCCTCTCATGCTCTCTGTCTCTCATTCTCTCTCTCAAATAAATAAATAAAATCTTTAAAAAAAAAAAAAAACAACTTATGGTTAGTCTGATGGTGGTTTAGGTGTCATCCTCTAGTCTACTCTACTGGCTCCTCAAAAGAGCTTACATGTTTCTAGAATATGGCCCCTCAGTGTTACATTGCCTGGTGGTGTGTGTGTGTGTATGTTGGGGTTGGGGGTTGTCCTAGACACTAGACTATCTCCTGAGCCTTCAGGATCATCTACAAAATACAGGATTGCAAACTGATCTTTTCCTGGGGAAAAAATGAGCACATACAGCATCCCAAACTCACATTCACTGTTTTTGCTCATTTATGCAGCCATCCTCTTTTTTGTTGTTGTAAATTACAAATTTTAACTATATGGTGAGGGTAAAAGTAATGAAAAGCCTCTTCCCTCAAAGAAATTAGAAAAGATATAAAGAAATAAGATATTAATAGGTGCTCTTGCAAGAAAAAAATCAGAACATTAACAGTGGTCTGATCTGCAAAACATTATATACAGATGGATGGACAGGTAATGTGCTATATATAGTTAATTAAGAGTCTACATGTGTAAGAGCTTGATCTCTGACCTCCAACTGACCTGGATTCAAATTATTGTTCTGTCACCTGCCAACTCTTTGACTTTGGGCAAGTCATTTAATCTCTCTGAGTTTGCTATCATAGAAAATAAGGATAATTATAGCATCTACCTTTCTGGATGGGTTGTTTGGAGGGTTAAATAATATAACATATAAAAAGCCTTTAGAATAATACTTGGCATGCAAAACATCTAAACTCACATTATAAGATCTGTATGGATTTCAGCTCATTTCTGTAATTACTGATAATGATTAGTTGTTTTTTTTTTTTACTTTTGTAGATCAAGAGATTTTCATAAGCATTGAATTTTCACAGCAACCCGAGGGGAGGTTAGGACAAGTATTATTATTATTGCCAGTTTGCAGATGAGGAAATGGAAATCCACCCAGGGAACTGATTTGCCCAGGAGCACTCAAGTCTCCCCACTAAGTGCAGAAGCTCAGTACTCACTTCCAGTTTCAGGGTGCCTTCTTAGCTGCCACTGTTTCCAATGACATTCAGAAAACAAACGCAGCTTTCAAAGTATTGTCACCTTGCCACATATATTGTTGTCACTGTATGAGATTTTTTTTATTGTTAGAACTTTGGTAGAAGTGGTTTGGCTAAAGGATTATAATCAAGTTTTGTTTTGTATTTTCCTCTGAATCAAATTAAACATTGCCTTCTGCCTCTGCCCTCTCATTTACACTAGTTAGTGGCTTAGCATTAGGGCCAGGATAACTTTAACCCAGATAATCATGACTTGATGGGTGCCCTGCAGATGGCTGCGTTTCTGGTGGAGACCCTGATGCTCTGGAGCCTCTACCATCTCCATGAAGTGGTCCTCAAGGGAGGACATTATACAGCCTCTCTTACTCACAGGGTCCAGGGTGAGATGATTGCCACCCAGCAGGATGGCAAACAAGATGAGGGGATAGGTGTAGAATCCACCCTGTGTTCTCAAGGTAACAGCCTGTGACCCTTGCTTTTTCTTTTCAAAGACTGTGATTGCTCAAAGCTCTCTCTAGTCATCTTTAGGAGAACAATAAGCATTCATCACAGATTGGCTTGTATTCATCAGGAATACAAATTTGACACACAGATATATATACTTCTGTAAAGCATAATGACAATTTTGAGTTGATGGCAAACTCTTGCCATCCTGAAACTACTTTTTTTTTTTTTTTAAGAAGATTCTCTTCCATTTTATTTCATTCCCCACTGTGGCTTTATCTTCCAAGTTCACTTAAAAAGAGCTATGGAAATTTTTCCGAGTCTTGAAACAATCCTGACCTAACATGATTGTTATTTTCTTTATTTTATTTTATATTTATTTATTAGATTTTATTTATTTATTTGAGAGAGAGAGAATGAGAGAGAGCATGAGAGGGGAGAGGGTCTGAGGGAGAAGCAGACTCCCCACTGAGCGGGGAGCCCAATGCAGGACTCGAGCCTGGGACTCCAGGATCATGACCTGAGCCGAAGGCAGTAGCCTAACCAACTGAGCCACCCAGGCGCCCCATCTAAAACTCTTTTAATAGTCATGAGTTTATTAAAAAAAAAAAAAGTTTTAGGACTTTGGTAGGGAGTGCTTGCTTCGGCAGCACAATAAGCTAGAATTGGAATGAATTGGGTGGGGAAAATATATGGAATTAAGTAAATATAACAAATTTCAGTACTCTAACAGTACTTTTTTTCCTGAAGAAGCGCATGAAATGGGCAAGAATTTTTTTGAAAGCCCAGATACTTAAGAATTTATAGAATATTTATTTGTAATGAAGCCAAGTTCTCAAAAATATAAGAAACTATAGGAAGTACATTGTAAGCAAATTCTTAAAAAGAGTATTCATGAAATCTTACTATAGGTAACTAAGATTTATTGTATCTAGTTATAAATATGATCATTCAAAACATCTGCTTTTAGCTCACACTATGGAATCTAGTTTTTACCTTGCATCTGTCATGTGTGAACTTGTTATGGATATTGTATTTTAAACTGAAGAAACAGCTGCTTCAATAATTTGAAATGAATCCCCAGGAGGATCTTTTCTAGGCTGGTACTACTGCTATGTTATGATGAAAATGATTATATGATAAAATATATGTATGTGTTGTCTTTGTCTTTTGTTAAAAGGCATTATCATCAGAGTATTAGATCTTTTTAATTAAAAGCTATTTCTGATTGGATATTCAATTGCAGTATATTTCACCTAAACAGGTACATCTAATATTCCCATACATTTCACAGAAATACTATTTAATTTTCCTGCCCTCATAAGGAAAATAATTACTTTCCTGTCTTTTAAATACAATTATTAAATGTTGTCTATTCCATGCAGTCACTAAATGCTTATTAAAGATAATGTATCCAAACACAATTAAAATGTAAATAATATTTTCTAATCCACAAAAATATGGTTGACTTTATTGAACAGAGATAATCATAACTCATAAATATCATTCTACTATATGCTGAAATATAGAACCAGTAAAATGACCTCTTTTAAAAATGCTTTGTAACACTATGGCATTTTCCATTCCCCAATGCTTCCAAATTCTTGGAATCCATCAGGGAAGAGAGGTGAGTAAAATTGTTTCCACTATTTTTCTAGCATGGAATAACTCTCTTAGTGAAGGTAAGATAGAACCCGCTTTGATTATAGTTAATTTTAAAGCCAACCTAGTTCTCCTTCCAATTAAAGACTATTTCTTGGAATGGGCTTACAGTTGTAGTGTTTTGATAAATGTGTCTTATTAATAATTGCATGCACAATTAAGGCCAGCTGAAAGGATTTTGATAATTCGGTTTTATCTCCCTTTTTTTTTTTGCCTTTTTCTTTTTTTAAGATTTTTGTTTTATTTTTTAAGTGATCTCTACACCCAAACTTACAACCCCGAGATCAAGAGTCACATGCTGTACTGACTGAGCCAGCCACATGCCCTGCCCTTTTGTTTTTTTAATCAGAAGATCCAATGTTTTCTCTGAACAATACTGGGGAGTGAATTGGTCTGATTCTAAAGTCATTTCCAGAGTGAATTAGGAGACTGAACTCTTCACTGATCTTTATTCTGCTGGATGTTCAAGCTGGGGTCTCTGTACTCCATGAGCAAGTACCTGGCTCGGCTCCCTTGGTGGAGGTCAATGCGTCTGCCTCCCAGAGCCCTCCCTTTGGCTCCTGTGCAGGCTTCTTTTATTCTCATTCTACCTTTCTCACAGTGGCAGTTTACTCTCAGGGCTAAGAGGTTGTTTTGATCTTTAGCAATTTCCCAATCAAGCAGTTTTTGTGTCCTTCACATTTTTGACAGTGACTGGCTTACAAGACAGTGCTCCCTTCTCTATGATGGCCTCTCAACCTCTTCTCTCAGGCTTTTTTCTGATTTGTTTTCTCTTTTAAAAGATAGCTTTAAGATCCTTTCCAGAAAATCCTTAAGGCTGTCTGCACATTCCAGACTACACTCTGCCTGACCAGAAACTTAGGCAAACCGATCTTTGTACTGTCCATCCAAAGCCCCTCACTTTGACAATGGCGGGGCGTCCCAGATGCTGATGAGAAAGCCTTGGGCTCTCACCAACACAACATCTCCACATAACACCATTTGACTGATAAGAAAACTGATAAGGTCCCAGAAAGGTTGAGCAACTTTCCACACATGCACAGGTGGTAAGTGACAGGACTCCAGACCTGGGCGTTTTGCAGTGAACCACATTGTTATTTCTCTTTCAATAGAGGGGTGCAGTGGTTGTCTGACCCTGGTTCTGCTGCCAAGTTTCATACCGGGCATCATAGCAGGGATGTAAACGCAGAGGTGATGATTATGGTGCAATCCTGGAGATGTCCCTTTCCATTCATTCTCTTCCTTTCCTTGCTGACTGGTGTATCCTAGGACCCTGCCTAAGGGGATGGGGTCCTGAAAATATCAGGAGAGGGGCCAAGGGAAGAAACAGGATCAACACAAACACAGCTCAAGTTGCTACTTTGTTGGGTATTATTACAGCAGAGTCTTGATTTAAGGTCCCTAAAATAGTCTAAATGTAATATTGTCCACCATGTCGGTGACAGTGTAAGCAAAAAGGATGTTTGGCAGTAATTTGGTATTTGCAGCATAGACCACTCTCAGTTCACTGCACATGGCTGATTCATCTATCACTTCAGCTGCCTGTGCCTCAGGCTCCTACAGCAACAGAGGCAGGACAGCAAAGGAGTTCAGTGTGGGCACACATATTTGCACATATGCTCACACACATGAACATCAGTATCTGAACCAAATTATGTTTCTGGATGGATTCTAACATGAAGAGAAAGGGTATTTGATATTTTTTCCCATTTGTTTTGCTTTTGCTTCTTTGTGACCTTGCTCTTTTCACTAGCGTGCACATCTAAAGAACATCTTAAAGTCTGGTTATTCGTTCATGAACAAGATCTGTTTACTACCTACTACTAAATTACAGTAATCTCAACAATTGGATTGTATTAATTACATAGCGTTTGTATCTGGATAGCCAGTGAGATAAACCAACATTTTTTAGGGTGGTTTTAGGTTTAGGGTTAGATTAGCCTCTGGTCCAACAAATGTCCCTCATTATGGAAGAAGATGATCAGCAAGTGGTTTAGAGATGGCAGAGTTACAGAGGCAAAATTCCATTGGCAGCAGTGACTCTCAAATGAACTTCCATGGGCATAAGTATCCTACCAAAAATGTTTGTTAATTATTTTGTAATTTTTAATACTATATGTATAATATATACAGTAGTATATAACAATAAGAGTAGTATTTTACCCTGACATACGCTTTGAAGTATTTTCAGTTTATCATCACACTCGGTTACTTCAATATTTATATTCATGTATGAACCCAACTAGGGAGAGATTTTGTTGAATCGAAAGAGTTGTAAAAAACTTATGGTTAGGGCGCCTGGGTGGCTCAGTTGGTTAAGCGACTGCCTTCGGCTCAGGTCTTGATCCTGGAGTCCCGGGATCGAGTCCCACATCGGGTTCCCTCCTCGGTGGGGGGGTCTGCTTCTCCTTCTGACCCTCTTCCCTCTCATGCTCTCTGTCTCTCATTCTCTCTCTCAAATAAATAAATAAAATCTTTAAAAAAAAAAAAAAACAACTTATGGTTAGTCTGATGGTGGTTTAGGTGTCATCCTCTAGTCTACTCTACTGGCTCCTCAAAAGAGCTTACATGTTTCTAGAATATGGCCCCTCAGTGTTACATTGCCTGGTGGTGTGTGTGTGTGTATGTTGGGGTTGGGGGTTGTCCTAGACACTAGACTATCTCCTGAGCCTTCAGGATCATCTACAAAATACAGGATTGCAAACTGATCTTTTCCTGGGGAAAAAATGAGCACATACAGCATCCCAAACTCACATTCACTGTTTTTGCTCATTTATGCAGCCATCCTCTTTTTTGTTGTTGTAAATTACAAATTTTAACTATATGGTGAGGGTAAAAGTAATGAAAAGCCTCTTCCCTCAAAGAAATTAGAAAAGATATAAAGAAATAAGATATTAATAGGTGCTCTTGCAAGAAAAAAATCAGAACATTAACAGTGGTCTGATCTGCAAAACATTATATACAGATGGATGGACAGGTAATGTGCTATATATAGTTAATTAAGAGTCTACATGTGTAAGAGCTTGATCTCTGACCTCCAACTGACCTGGATTCAAATTATTGTTCTGTCACCTGCCAACTCTTTGACTTTGGGCAAGTCATTTAATCTCTCTGAGTTTGCTATCATAGAAAATAAGGATAATTATAGCATCTACCTTTCTGGATGGGTTGTTTGGAGGGTTAAATAATATAACATATAAAAAGCCTTTAGAATAATACTTGGCATGCAAAACATCTAAACTCACATTATAAGATCTGTATGGATTTCAGCTCATTTCTGTAATTACTGATAATGATTAGTTGTTTTTTTTTTTTACTTTTGTAGATCAAGAGATTTTCATAAGCATTGAATTTTCACAGCAACCCGAGGGGAGGTTAGGACAAGTATTATTATTATTGCCAGTTTGCAGATGAGGAAATGGAAATCCACCCAGGGAACTGATTTGCCCAGGAGCACTCAAGTCTCCCCACTAAGTGCAGAAGCTCAGTACTCACTTCCAGTTTCAGGGTGCCTTCTTAGCTGCCACTGTTTCCAATGACATTCAGAAAACAAACGCAGCTTTCAAAGTATTGTCACCTTGCCACATATATTGTTGTCACTGTATGAGATTTTTTTTATTGTTAGAACTTTGGTAGAAGTGGTTTGGCTAAAGGATTATAATCAAGTTTTGTTTTGTATTTTCCTCTGAATCAAATTAAACATTGCCTTCTGCCTCTGCCCTCTCATTTACACTAGTTAGTGGCTTAGCATTAGGGCCAGGATAACTTTAACCCAGATAATCATGACTTGATGGGTGCCCTGCAGATGGCTGCGTTTCTGGTGGAGACCCTGATGCTCTGGAGCCTCTACCATCTCCATGAAGTGGTCCTCAAGGGAGGACATTATACAGCCTCTCTTACTCACAGGGTCCAGGGTGAGATGATTGCCACCCAGCAGGATGGCAAACAAGATGAGGGGATAGGTGTAGAATCCACCCTGTGTTCTCAAGGTAACAGCCTGTGACCCTTGCTTTTTCTTTTCAAAGACTGTGATTGCTCAAAGCTCTCTCTAGTCATCTTTAGGAGAACAATAAGCATTCATCACAGATTGGCTTGTATTCATCAGGAATACAAATTTGACACACAGATATATATACTTCTGTAAAGCATAATGACAATTTTGAGTTGATGGCAAACTCTTGCCATCCTGAAACTACTTTTTTTTTTTTTTTAAGAAGATTCTCTTCCATTTTATTTCATTCCCCACTGTGGCTTTATCTTCCAAGTTCACTTAAAAAGAGCTATGGAAATTTTTCCGAGTCTTGAAACAATCCTGACCTAACATGATTGTTATTTTCTTTATTTTATTTTATATTTATTTATTAGATTTTATTTATTTATTTGAGAGAGAGAGAATGAGAGAGAGCATGAGAGGGGAGAGGGTCTGAGGGAGAAGCAGACTCCCCACTGAGCGGGGAGCCCAATGCAGGACTCGAGCCTGGGACTACAGGATCATGACCTGAGCCGAAGGCAGTAGCCTAACCAACTGAGCCAGCCAGGTGCCCCTATTTTCCTAAATTTAATCTTTTGAAAAAGCATTGGTTATGAGCTACAAGTGAGACTTTTGAAACTGTCTTACTTGGCAGTAATGCATTTCTTTTTTTTTTTTTAAGAGAGACACAGCACGAGCAGGGAGGGGCAGAGGGAGAATGAGAGAGAGAATCTTAAACAGGCTCCATGCTCAGCATGGAGTCCAACATGGGGCTCAGCCTTACGACCCTGCAATCATGACCTGAGCCGAAATCAAGAGTCAGATGCTTACTGCCTGAGCTACCCAGGTGCCCCGTGCCACATTTTTACTAGGGTTTCTCTCCTGCTTGACCTAGTATGTCAGGTCAGTCACCGCTGCAGCTCTAAAAGACAAGAGCAAGACATATGTAATGAAATTACACTGTTTTATTTGTTTACTTTTATATTACTTGTCAT